GAGAGCTATGAAAATCACTATTTGAATGTTCATTACAAGTTATTTTTGATGAAGAAACACGAAAAACAAAAAGTGTCTTAAACTTTTGATTTCTATATTACCTTTCCACCATTTATTATAAGATTTTTGAATCTAAAATCAAAATATTTTTGTTTTTTTTGTTTTTATATTTTTTGCCTCTTTAACTTACTATTCCTTTTTCTTGTAAATCAAGAATTATTTCAGAAAAACGTTCTCGATGTGGACTTCCTATAATAACAAATAAAAATATTTTTGTTTTGCTTTTAAATAATTTCCTATATAAATTTAACCTTCTGGTAATCCAATACCATAACCTTTATTATCAAGTAAACCACCAATTTGTGTTAAATTACATTCACGTTGTACAGTATATTCAATTGATGTTGATTCCATAAAAAATGCAAATGATTCAGCTTTAACACGATCAATACCGTGTTGATTACTTTTAACAAATACATCTGAATTACTACTCATATGTTTCCAAATAGTTTGATAAGTTGGAATAGTTGATTCCTTTAAAAAAGAAAACTTAAATTAATAAATAAATACAAATAAATAAATAAAAACTAACTCGAAAAAATTGTTCTGTTGAACCACCACGAAGAACACCATATTTTATTTTCGTTTGTTTAATTAAATCTTCAGCACTTTCAATTGTATTAACAAATTTTTCGACAGTTAAAAAAGCAGCTAAAATTATTCGAATATATTTTATATATGTAACAGGTTGGACAGAACAAAGTATCTATTGCTGCGTTACAAAACTATATTCTGAAACATAGCCCTACAGTAACTACAACAAATAGATGACGATGTACTTTTGATGACATGCCCTTTGAGGAAGTATGTCTCAACTAAAACACATCGGGTCAAAAGTTTTTTGGATTTGGACCCGACAGGCTCTAATCTCAACTCTGTCATCTGTGATTAGAACGACGCAAACCGCAGAAAAAGACTCATTTTTGTAGAACATGAAACTCTGCATCTTCTAATAGAAAACAACAATTACTTTTTGAACCCAAAGGTTGAAGAAAATCTTCACAATAAGATGCCACATCACTAACCATAAATGTGTTTTTTACTTTTTCTCCCTATGGCAAAGCAATAAGATGTCAAGATATAATGCATTAACGTTTAGGTGGATAGTCTGAAAAATTCTGCATCTTTTACGTTTTGAAACCAGTTCCTGTTGCATAATTTCCAAAGAGAAAATAGTAATTCGAGTTTTTCTGATTTTTCATTTGAGCACTCAAGACTTTATAACTTCAAATGTTTTTTATTATTATAAAACAACAGAATATTACTATTTTTGAACCATATACAAATGTAATGTAGACAATATTTTCTATCCTGTCATACTAAAAGAAATTCATCTAATCAAATTCAACAAAAATAATAAAAAAATTTGCATATGAGCGATATTTTCTCTGTCCAACCCGTTATATAAAATAAAAATCAAATTTCTCATTTTACCTAAATTAGCTGTATATGATGAAATAAGAATTAATGTAAAAAACCACCAAATACCAGAAATAAGACGAGTTGATATAGCTGATGGACTTATATCGGCACCTTTCAAATACAAAAAGAAAAAAGAAAAACGACAATAAAATAAATTATTTTACATATTCGGTTTTTTTTTTCTTAAATCTACCTTGTTGCATTAATGTTCCAATTGAAAACCAAAGTGTATTACTAACAGTAAAACGATTTTCTAAATAATTATAATCACTATCACATGGATAAGGATTACGCCATTCATCAGGTGAACATCGAGCAATTAATAATAGAATAAAACTAACAGTAAATATAGCAGCAAATGTATATATCTAATAAATAAAAGTATTATTTTTTTTTTGTAAGTAAACAAAAAAAGAAGTTTTAAATAAAATTATATTTTACCCAAATTTCAAGTGATAATGGATTAAGAAAACTGAATAAACCTGGTTTTTCAGGTTTGGATGTTTTAAAAAGTATTGATATACCCAAACTAAGAAATGGTTTGGTAAAATCAATTTTTTTTTCTCGTGCATAATTAACTAGAATAAAAATTCAAATAAATAATTCATTATTTTATTATTATTAAGCCATCTTGGCTCAAAAAAAAAGTCAATTTTCATTAGAAATATTGAAATTGAGATAATGACATGAGAACATAGCGTCTGAAGTCTGATCTTTCATAAATAATATGATTTC